TTGCATTTCTATTTCCATGGCACCCAGACACCACCGTGTTTCCTRGGACTAGCATTATGATCAAAAGGMGTGTTCCTAGGGGGTACCATTCCTTTYTTGTACTYCTCCAGCCATGACAACATATTGCTTACTATCTTCGTCTCATTCGCAGCCAGATTTACATATTCACACGGGTCGGTGGATAAGTCAAACAGACAAGGGCCTTTTTCCTTRGTACACTGTGTTCCTACAGACGGTGGTTTAGCGCACGTTACCACAGCGTTCTTTAACGTTTGTGGTGGTTCTTGCTTATGTAGCTGTTCGTAGCCTGGAGGAGGGTACCAGCCGCTCCATGCTTGAGCTTGGGTAGTGAAAGAAACCATGAAAATGAATGAAAAATGAAAATGAAAATGAATGAAAAAATGAAAAATGATGATGCTGTTATCCTACTGTTACAATCTTTACCCTGCGAGCAGAAGAATTTTCCACCCCTTTCTACGAAGAAAAGGAAAAAGTTTCTTTCGCAGATAGGGGAAAAATTCCTCTGCTCGCAGGGTATACAATCTTCTGAGAAACTTGCAATGCTAAAATATATATATTGCGGTTCAAACAGAATATCATAGCCTTATTACACCGTGCAATTTTAGACCGAGATAAGATGGGAGCAAGATGACAGACATGTATTTGAAATCAGAAATAATCTCTCGTTTCAAAGTGAGAGCATGAAATCTCTCGCAGTTTATGTGACTTGAAAATCGCATGAAAAGATGCAGAGGATGATATACCGTAAGTTGCAGCAATAGTACGTGCAACAAGCTGAGCAACAAACAATAGCGCGTGCAACAAACTGAAAGACGACCCCTGTTATATAAAGTGCACGTCCAACACCATAGCAACACAGGTTATTGAGAAAATAGGTACTTAAGTAATGGTCCGAGAAAGTAGTAGGCAAGGAAACGGCAATAAAATGCAAGAAGATGCTAATTAATAATCCATCCATCTCATTGGTTAAAACATTAAAATCTGACATAATTTCCCAAGTTAAAGCGCATTTTTTAATATTTTATTTAATATCTGATTCTGACTTCATGAAAGATTTCCTTAGCTTCAATATTTAATAGCAATTCTATGTGAGGAACATAGCAAATTAGAAGCACCTTTTGGCTATTGTTTTGAGTGCTTATGAATCGACAAGATCTTTTTATACAAACAGAGTTTGTCCACATTTTATTTTAGAAATGTGTTACCCATAGGTTGATATAAAATCAGTGTGAAAACCACATTCGTAYGCGAGGATGTTTCGATTGCCGCAGAACAATAGAGAGTTGCCTACTTCTTACGCGCATTGTTACTTACTTTGGTTAACTATCAGCTTCCAGTTTTCAAACCGATATGCCGCCGCACCACTAATAGGGTCTATATTATGYAATATTTCCACCCTGGGYGACATGCCATCRTTWGCAATMGCATCCCAAACATCAASACCATCAACATCTTGCAAGTCATGAATGTCGCCACCGGCACGGACATACAATGTAGGAAGCCAGTCAGTTACATGTAGTAGCTTGGTGCTCACACGGCCTGATTTCTTGATTAGAGGACTGTGAACGAATCCTGCTCCTCTTACTCCCCCTAAGGACAGAATATTTCTATATTATAATTATAAAGAAATTTATGAAAGGGGGGTGGGAGGGGGAGGGGGTGTCTAAAATGACACATTTTTGAACCTAGATTTTTCCAAGTCATGTTTGCTATTCTGATCACACCTAGAAATACT